TAGTTCCTTTTTTGGTTTAACCATTTCTATATATATATATATATATATTTATATAGGGTCCTATAAGGTAACCCCAAAAAGGATCTACCATGGAGACCATAGGTAAACCCGAACCCTGCCTGTATCCCCAAACCCTACAAAACAGTAGGTTATGACCCCTTAACTAAAGGGTCTAACCCTTAAAACGGTAGGTTTTTGGATACCCAGGTAAACCATAAACAGATAGACCCTAAACAGAACCTCAAGTGAGGTTCGAGGTGCAGTTTAGGGTTTAGGGTGTAGGGGCTTGTAAACCCTCAACCCTAAACCCTAAAGTCCCTAAAGGGCTCCCTCAAGGGGTTCTTACAACAAAATGAAGGTTCCTTTATAGGGTTGCTAGGGTTTGGGGTTTAGAGTTTATGGGGTTAGGGGTGTATCGTGTAGTGCTTTAGGGTTCCACGGCTCCCTCAAGGTTTCCTATAGAGGGTCTAGATGAGGGTATGACGGAGTTTATGCTCTACGTCTTTAGGGGTTTAAGGCTTTAGGCTTTCAGTGTTTTTGTTCCGAGGGGGTGAGGGTTCAGGGTCTAGGTGACTAGGGGTTCGAGATGAGCTGCTCGGAAGATCAAGTAGAATCCCGATTGGAGCCCCCAGATAAGCTCGGGGCATATCTAGCATTTCATGGGGGGAACTGATGTTTCTATGCTTGACACTCACCATCAACGTCATGTTCCTCCGCGGGACACCATCTTCCTCCTCCTCTTCCTCCCCCCCCTCTCCCCCTCTCTTTCGTCATCATCATCATCATCAGCATCATCATCGCCATCCCTAAACCCTAAACCCTCATTAGCACGGGCAATTGTCATCAAAAGCATGATACCGCCATGTCCAGAGCCCTCGCCACCACAAGTTCTTGCTGCTTTCTTAAGGGTTTAGGGTTTAGGGCTTAGGGTTTTTAGGGTTTAGGGCTTAGGGTTGTTAGGGTTTAGGGCTTTTAGGGCTTGGCGCCAGCATCAAACTGATCTTCATCGTCGTCGCAAGTTGTCGGGGTCACGCCCTGGCCGTCATCGTTGTCGTGGACGACACCATTGTGAGCACGGTTTAGGGTTTAGGATTCAGGGTTTCATCCTGCCATCGTCATCGCCGACATCGTCATGACTACCCTGCTCTTCCACGTGAGCAACATCAACATCAGCATCCCACCAAACCACCTTCTTTCGTCCCGTACATCGACACAGTGTAATGGGACTTCAACGCTTGGCACCGTAGCCAACTCCTTGCAGGGCAGGGCATCAGGTGCCTCGGCATACTTTGGTCCAAGCTGGCTCTTGCAACCCGCAGAAATCTGTATCCTGCACTCCAATAGTATACAATAGCTTAGGGGCTGAGTACGCTCGCCCAAAAAAAGGTTAACCTTTTGAATTATAACAGGCTCGAAAGCTGGATAATGGGCTCAACTGTTTTCTCTAACCAAAAGCTGAAAGTAATCCTGGGCACCCACGCTGCGGTCCCCGCAAGCTGAGGGTCGTCAAATGCACAATGAGTCGGAAGGTTTTGTGGTGATTGAAACAATCAGGATATCTACGGGATCACTTGATCGACGTAAGGCTGGTCGATCTGCAAGACTCCTCTCATGATCGCATCAATCAAGTCACGTGTCACTGAGCCCTTGGTCATGCCATCAGCTGTCATAGATCGTGTGTCACTCCAGAAAAGTCGGTTCAAGCGACCACTCTGAAGCAGTGATCGTAACCAATGGACATGAAGAAGTAAGCTCGGCTCAGCAGGAACCTTTACATTCGGGGCCACCACTGCAGATGTAACAGACCGCGCGTCTAGTACTAGGCAAAGCTTCACATCACAGTCAGCTCGACCTTCAATCATGCACTTGGCATCGTAGGGAGACAGCACCCCAGTTGCGAACTCTTGAAGCATGAT